TTGCTAGCTTCAAATAGGAGGCACCTTTCCCAAAGAGGGGAGAGGGTCTTTGCCCAAGAGATTTCAGGGCTGATCAAAAGGGCTTTAAACTAGTTACGAAGGGAGAGGGGGATAACAATATCAGGCCTGTCTGTGACAAGGTGTGGGATTGCACACCAGGGTTAGAGGGATGAGGTGCCACTAAAGGCCTTCAACCAGTTACTCTGAGGCAGGCTGGGGACATGGCAGCACAGTTAAAGTCTTGCAGAGATGAACCAGGGGCTCCTGAGGTGGTAGGAGCCAATGGGGAAACATCACCTCAATAGAATTAAGAGGTGTTCCACCAAAAGGGTGACATGGCCAACAGCCCAGCTGGAGTCTCCTTCTCTGGAGACTTTCAAAACCCACCGGATGTGTTCCTGTGAGGCTGCCCTAAGGGCTGTGGCAGGGTGGCTGGACTAGATGATCTCTAGAGGTTCTTTCCAACCTCTAATATTCTGTGATGTCATCCAACAACTGAATAGCTTAGTACAACTTTTGGACTATTATCCTGTTCCTTCCATGAGGATACTGACAATGTTGTACCAAAAAGTCTAAGATTGCTCAAAAGATACTTCTTTTGATATTGCCCCTCCTCTTTGTAGGGGGTTGCTACAGGAGGGTCTCCTGTGCAAAGCTTCAGGAGACTCCCACAGTTACAAGTCCATCTCACCTCTGGCCAAGACCAGAGCAATCAGTGCCTCTTCAGTAAACATATTTAAGAGGTGAACAACCTGTTGGGTGAGTTCTTTTGTTTGAGGAGTTCTTTGTATAGAGAGGACAGGAATGTGAAAGAAGCAACCATGCAGACACCAAGGTCAGTGAAGAAGGAGGGGGAGAGGTGTGCTGGGGCAGATTCCTTCACACTCCATAGTGATGTGACAGGCTGACCCCCTGCAACCCAAGGAGATTAATGATGGAGCAGAATCCCACCTGCAGCCCACAGAGGACCCCATGCTGGTGCAGAGGACTGTGCCTGAAACATGCTGTGACTCTGACAGAAGCCTGTGCTGGAGCAGCCCATCACTGTGAGGACTGCATCCCATGGGAGAGACTCATGGTTGAGCAGTCTGGGAAGTGCTGCAATTCTGTAAGAAGGACTCACGTTGGAGAAGTTCACAGCGGATTGTCTGCCATGAGGGGGGTCACCATGATGGAGTAAGGGAAGACTGTGAGGAGTCCTCTCCCTGAGCAGCAAGGAGTAGCAGAGACAATGCATGACAGACTGACCATAAAGCCTCATTCCTAACCCCTCTATGCCACCCTGAAGGAGGAGGTAGAAAACAGAGCAGAGCTGAGCCTAGGGAGAAGTGGGGGGATGTTTTTAAGAGGTGGGGGGAAGGTGTTTTTAACATCTGGTTGTATTTTCTTATTATCCTACTCTGATTTGATTGGTAAATTGGTGGTGGTTTTGTTGTTTAAATTAAATTACTGTGTTTCTCCCCAAGCTGACTGGTTTTGGTTCGTGACCACAAGTTGTGAGTGAGCCCTCCCTGTTGTTAGTCCTGATTCTTAAGCCTTTTGTTATATTTTCTAGTCCCCATCCCCAAAACAAGGGTGGTAGGAATGAAGAAGCAGCTGCATGGTTCTTTGTTGCCAGCTGGGTGGGCTCAAATGATGACAACAGCATGTGTCCAAAGTGTCCCTGCTGTGGAACCCTACCATGACTTCTCACTTTTCTGAAGGTCAACCATTTAAGCCTTGATACATTACCAATCTTTTAACTACCAATACATCCATTCAAGGACATTCCCAAATATCCTAGGACTGTCTAATTCTCTAAAAGCTAAAAGAATTCCGGAAATTCAAGTAAATGTTTTGAGAAAAGATGTAGGAATTTGGTCTTTTCTTGAACTGACACATCTGAATTGCAATCTCCTGAATCACTTACAGAGCTTAAGAAGCAAAGCAGAGCTCAGCATATGCAAAGAAAAAGTCTTTTAAACATACATAATACTCAATAAGGAGGTTTATAGTAAGACTGAAAAGGGAAGCAACAAACATGTTGCCAGTACCAAAAGTAAATTTATTATTATTTTGGGGTTATTTGTGACAAATAATAAAAAGTTTTGTTCACAAGTCTGCACTCCTTTCACACTCACACCTCTGCTGTAATGTTCTCTCTCCCTCAGGGGCTCAGCTGCCTGCATCCCAAGGTTTCAAGGCTGAGCCCAAACACAGCAAACCAACATAACTTTGGCTCACAATTCTAAAAAAATTGCTAAGTTGTGAGAGAGACTTGCGAGAAAAATGTGTAGAAAGATAAGAAATGAAAGGGAAGTAGAATGACCAAAATGGGTTCTCTAATCACTCAATGATGCAGTACTTTGTCATGCATCTAACAGAAAGGTACAATATTCTGACAGAAAAAAAATGAACTTTAGAGCGTGACCACTAGTCATCACTTATTTTTCTCCAAGCTCTAGCGCTGCTAGGCACAGAAGCAGGTAATTCAGCAACACTGCAGATCTGACCAACAAAGCTGTTGAAGCAGACTCTTCTTCTGACTGAAGCCTGTCTGGACAGCAAAGGCTTTCTGGGTATTATATAAGGGTGGTGAGCATATTTATTCACAGTCCAATTGCTCATTAAAGCTTGGATATAATCTCTGAGTGCTAGCCACTACATAATTACTTTGTACTTCTGCATTTAGCTGTGCAAAACGTGTTGCTGCAAGCAAGACGCTCAAGCAAGCTAAACTAAAGAAGGGAGGTAACAGATCGGTGGAGAACAAGGTCAGCCTGAATCCTTTGTAGCAGGTCCTCTTGCCTGAACAATTAAGGCTGAAAACAAGTTCATCAATCTGCAACTTACAGCAATTTTTGGAGACTTCAGCTCACTAGACAGGAAAAGTTTCCATTACTAGTTGTTGTAGCCTAAACATGGAAATTTTAAGTTCCCAGGATGAAAAATATTTCTTTTCTTTTCAGGGAAAAGTTTAGGAATTATTCAGAAGTGACACTGCCTACAGCAGAGGCCTCACATTATGAGCTCAGAGATGGTTGAAAACATATTACAAAGTTTATTGCCTGCTGGTTTGTAATTAAGCTATGGTGATGAAGATTGCTGATCAGTATGCATTCATTAAGAGTATGTGCTGTCTCTTTAAGAAGGTACTGAGAGAAACGCCAGGCTTTTTTTCTCTTCTTCTGAGGCTGGCAGACACTTCGAAGGTAAGTACCCAAAAAGGCAGAAGCAATTCAGAAAGTAGTCATGGAAGCATCTTTACTAATACTGAAGAGAACAACCTGCCCTCTGGCATTTCAAAGGATCTACAGAGTTGTACACCTGCAGACAATTTGTTTGAACCAGGAATAAACACTGCTTGTATTTGAGAGATACAGGCTAGCTTTTATATGAGAACACCTGGGTCCCAGTTCAAACTCCTCCATGCCAGAGCTATCACTATGATTTACATTAAGTTAGTAAACTGAGATAGCTTTTGCATGCTCATTAACAGTTCTCTGCAATATGACTGATTCTGCCAAAAACAGTTCTGACTGCCATTATACTGTGCCTGTTCTATCACAATGTTTCCACATATTTAATGACTGCTTATTTATGCTAAAATGACTTTGCTTGCTTGCTAGAAAGAAGACAGACCCAATAGATAACAAGCAAATGGACAAAGAACACAGGCTGAAGAGGCTGGAAGAACAGTAACATTCTGTCTGGAATATTAGCTATGAAAAAGACTAAAATTTGCTGCATGAATTAGGTAACTCAAAACATACGAGCTTGCTCTATGGATAACACAGGAACCAATCACCAATCAACAGAATTGCTGCTGTCTGTATGTGTTACTGGTGTCTGCAGTAAGATGTCACCAGTGCAGATATATGTGTTAGCATACCACGCACTCAGGTAAACGGTGTTACTCCTGAAGAGCAATTAATCTCAGCGAAACTTTTTTCCCCTTTAATTTAAAGCTATTATAGGAGAAAATACTTAGTAGCATGTACACAAAGTCACTTCAGGAGGACATATTATCATTATATCAGTACCCTTCCGGTGCCACAGTTTGACAGATACTGATAAAGCTAAAAGTGTTCATAATTGGTGTCATGACTGGTCTGTTAAATTAAAACTAAAGAGTTCATATGACCAGTCTGTTAAAGTAAAGCTAAACAAAGCCTTGGTCTCAAGCTGCATTATAGCCTAAATGAACTGTGAGTGCAGAAGAAGAGATAAATGCACAGCAATGGAAGATCCTTAACCCAGTGGTGACGGCAACTCGCATGGCAGACCTGCCAGCGGAGGCTCGGTCTGATACCAGCTCCTAATGCAAAGAACAAAGATGTCGCTGGTGATCAAGAGATATAGCAGGTATTGGGTCGGGGCCAGGGGGAGTACAGGGCTGGAAGGCTTTGAGCTCTAACATCTTCCCTCAACATCATCACATTTCCCTTTCATTTATAATTATTTTGTAAGTCTAATTCACACTGCAAAATTCTGTAACTTTGACTTCAGATGTGACAAACACTTGTGAAAAAGTCTATAGAAAGATAGTAACTACAGAGAGACCTAAGACTGTTCACACAGGATTTGCTGTAGCCTACAGATTTAGAAGGAGATAAATCCACCAGCAAGGAAAAGCATAAAATGCAAGGGGGGCAAAAAAACCCAAACTCCCACATAGCATGGGCAGCAAATGTCATTGGCTGCTGTTTGGGTTGTCAGTGTTGGGAGTCAGTTAAACGTGGCAACTAAGCAACCTGAAGCACTTGCTCCAGGAGGACGCGGAGGCTGACCTTTCTTCAGAACAATGCTACTCCAGAAAACAACGACTTTTCAGATGTTGTTTTGAAGGCAGTCTCACAATTTGGAGGGAAAGTGGTGTTTGGGGTTTTCTTCTTTACTGCTAGAGAAACACAGGACTATGAAAGGAAACACAGGACTACATAACATAATGTTTGGCAAATGAACACTCTGAAATCAGTAGGGTACTGGCATCTTCCACAAAAATGACATTTAATACTCACAGTGCACACATGAGGCCAGTTCTCAAGCTGATGAAGCACTGTTGTGCTGAGCTCCTCCCAGTACATTTCCCGGTATAACTGTGGCATCTTTGACAACCAGACGCCACTGCTGCACTTGCTTAGAATCTCCTTAATGCGACTTTGAACTTCATTGATGGTAGCAGCAGAAGGGCCAGGGGCAGCAGTATGTGTCTCCGCAACAGATGTATTCAAGTTATCTGTTAAGTAAAAATACATCCTTGAAGTAAACATATCCTTATCTGCAGAGAGAAAGACTGATGATTACCTACCTAATCAAAAACTAAACAGGAGATTTGCCAGTATAGCACTAAATCCAAAATGCATCTCTCCTCCCCAGCATCCCTGCTTCTATTGAAAAAAGTCATGAAAGTCTCAGTCATTCAGTAATTGGCCAGAAGCTGAATTTTCAACCACTGTCGGTATTTTCATGAGGCCTTGTTAGGTGTTTCTTCTCAATAGATCGTGGAAGACGTTACAGAATGCCCAGCCACGCTGTTGATGAGAAGCTACACGGAGGCAATGACCCAAGATAATTTTTTACAAGCACAAACACAGCAACAAAGATAGGATGATGTTCTGAATTCAGACAGATATACCAAACAGACCAATGATTTGTGTTTTATTCTAAGATACATCCTGAGGAAAAGTCAGCTTTTCTGTGCTACTGCATCCAAGGAAGCCCTCCAGCAGAGCAGAGAAAGAGACTGCAACTGTTCAGCTACTCTGGACAATTTCATGCATTGTGTGTAGGATCAAGGCAGCCATTATCTCAGCGGGAGGTTCACATCACTAGCTTGCCTGCTCCCTCACCTCTAGTCCTCTCCCTTCCTTTAGAGGAGTATATTTGCTACCAGACCTGAAGCTTCACAAATGAGTCTGACAGGTCACAAAGAAAACCACCATCAATTGACATGCCCATCAAATGCACAACTCATGAAAGCTAGGATTTCACTCTCCTATTCCATATCCCTACCCTGGCAGTGAAATTAAGCATACTCCTCCTGTTTTGAAGCTACTCACACTAGTTTTATGATTGGCTTTGACACTTAATACACAAGAATTTTCCTAGAATGCAGACAAGGAAACACACACATTTTTCCAGCACCATGAAATCAGAGTGAGATGGTGAACTCAACTTGGTTTCTCACCCAAACCTACTTTCATTCAAAACAAGTACTAAAATGTAATTTTCTTAGGATAACACCCAATCTGAGTAGCCAACAAAACTTTTCTTAGGGGGAAAACATACCATTTGAATCCACAGAAGAGCTTCTGGACAGGTGAACTTGCAATTCCTTTTGAAACCGTGGTGGGACAGTTAGTCTCTTCTCAGACCTAAAATTGAAAAGAAAAACGCTTTAAATCTTTTTCCCAGCTCTGAATAGCAATCCATTTGTTTATAAGACCTATAGAAAAAATAAGATGTATTTCACATACTTCTAGCAAGCCCCCTACACAAGATCAATGCTTAAAATGTCCTGGCCTGGAAGACAACCTAATCAGCAGTAACAAGACAGAACAATAAGTAGCTTCTAGCTCTTTTCTTATTATTATTCTGATTATTGTCAGGACCAAAATGGACAGCAAAAAGACATTAGCAAAAGGAAAACATCTAGACCTAATAATACATTTGATTCACTCACCCTCACTATTTCGTCTTTTACCTGGATGGTGTTTCAGTCTTGCTTTTGAACATGATTATGTTCACCACATAAGTGTGTGGCTTCAGGGCAACACACAAAACTACACAGGAACTCAAGGTCTTTTTGTGGATGACGTTGCTATATTGTGTAACAGATTAATCTCTGCAGTGCCCTCCAACAGAAAGGACACGTGAATGCTTGCAGGCATTCTTCTGAGGTCCATCAAGAGAGCAGCAGCTTATACTGGGAGCACAGGCAGCACAAGGAGCTCCTGACAGTGAAGAGGTCACAACAGTGTGTAGCTCACTAGACTTGTTTTGGAAACAATCAGCAGTGAAATAATAGCACACACTGCAAGTGAAAGGGAACAACAGTTGGAGAAAGAGTTCAAAGACCAGGACCGCACCCCTCAAAGACAAATATCCAAGGAAGAACTTTGGTGGAGAAGTCCAGGTGGCAAATGCACTAGTACAGTTCTCCGCAGAAGCAAGGCATGTTGCTGTGAACCCCCGACATGTGCACTGAGCAGGCTCTGCAGATGGTATCCTCCGAACGGGCCAGTAAGGAGACTGGCTATGGCTGGAGTTCAAGGACAAATCTGGAGGAGATCACAAACTTCATCAGCCACAGAAGCACCAAAGGAAGATTCCCAGCTTCACCTGAGCAACCAGAAGGTAGGATGGAGTCAAGTATGATGCTGAGGCTAGTCAAGACTAGTACAGTATTAAGATAGCCCTATGTGCCTAATCAAAGCAGATGCATAAATCAGAAAGAGGCTTCCCCATTCACATCTCTTCCATGTAATACAAGATTTAACATTAACTTGTCTCCCTTGCTTTTTTGCTGTCCTTCTAAGATCAAACTATTCCTTTTCCATCAGCTATTCAGTGGTAGTTGTACCAAAAATAATGCTTCTTCTCTGGCTATGTCCTACAGCACTAGCAAAGGAGGGCAGTGACTGCCCAGCATAGCATTTTCCAAAGGAGGAGAAGTATGTCCAGAAGTTAGCACCAGACCAACCACAAGGACATTTGTGAAACACACGTGGGACAAGATTCAAAGGTCAAGTCACCGACACAAAACCCAAACACACTTTCAGCCCTCACAATTGTTGGATTTCTGAAAAGACTCTTTCAACACTCTGTCTGCATCCTACAAAAGTCCTCTACCTTTTGGTCAGATCCTCACACAAAGCAGCACCACATTCTCTTCTTAGAAAGAAAAGTGTGCTGTGACAGGCCATGCAGACCCTACAAGAAACCCAGGATGCCACCTCTCCATGCATTTATTTACCAGTATGGACAACTCCAAGTTGGAGATATCAAAGGAAAAAAAGTCCCTTACAGGAAGCAGACTCAAAAGAGACTACCACCATCACTACGCAGCAAGCAAAACAAACCTATGAGATAATCATATGGGTAACGAAGACTGTCCTGCTACTGCTGCCTCCTAGTATGAATCCATAGCTGTGTTCTAGTTCTTAGTGCCACACACCATTTCTATCATCTTAAGCCACACATCAGGTGACACAGACGACATGAGCACCAGGTAAGCCAGTAGGAAGTGCAGCAAGGTTTCCCTGAGGAAGGCAGATGTTCCCCTCTTGAGTCATGCCTCTAGAACACTTTGGAAAGGAACCTGGAATGGAGGACTGATGATTTCCTTATGTTGCAAGTGAAAGCCAACTGGATTTGTGATCCTCTCAGTATTAAGAGACTTCATGTGGTATCTCCCTGTGCTTTCTGCTGTAGTTCAATTGCTTCCCATGGAACAAAGTGATGCTACCACCAGCTTTGAGCCCAGTTATCATCAGTTTCGAGCCCTGAAATCAGACAAGGATCCTGTGATGCACTGCTTGCTGACACTAACCATGGTGGTCTTATCTCTCCAAAGACAGAATGGAACACAGCCAGGCGCTGGCAGGGCCAACACACTTCTCAGCATGCAGGTATGGACAATTCAGCTGCCCACTGGGCCTCACATTCCTCAGCTTCTAGAAATTACTCCTGTCATTAGGCCTCCTAGACACACCAGCAATAAAAGAACACATCAGTAGCCCAGCCCTTCACAAATGCCTGACCAGCCATGCTGTCTTGCCAAGCCCCAATGCACAGCTGCAGCTGAGCAGCAAGTTATGTTTCACTTCCACAGACAACTGCCTCACAATGAACGGAAGGCACGGTCTTCCCTGCCTGTCGCCTTACCTCGGTAAGGCCCATGCCATCCAGCCCTGCTCTCTGGCCCTTGAATAGTGCCACCTCTGCAGCAGGGCCAGGTGGCAGCCAGCAGCAGATGCTGCCTGCTAGTCCAAGCAAGAGGTGACCAAGCATCTCAACCAGTTCTCATCCATGCCGTTGCTTTCCAGCTTCAAGGATCTCTGCAGTTAGCCTTACCAGCAAGGTCTCTCCCACCTTCTGTGGGTTTGTAGTTCCACAACAAATTCATGCTATGAACTTACTGAGTGATTGCTGCTATAAAGAACGCCTCTGAGACCCTGCAAGAGTGTCTGCAAGAAGGCCGGGGGGCCAGCAGGAAACAACCTGGCACAACTGCAGCCACCTTCAGTATCTCCTCCTTGTCATCTGGGTGTGACAAGGCCTGTTCCACTTCCACCCAAGACTATAGAGTAGGAAGTCCCAGAAGCTGTGGCCATGAAAATCTAACAGCAAAACATCACAAGAGTGCTAGAGAGGTGATAGACAGATTTTGATAGTCACTATGGAACTGCCATTCTCATCTTCACTGTGGGGCTTCACTACAAGATGCTACTTGGAGCACCAAGACCAGTCAGCATCCAGACAAGGCCAGTCACTGGGGGGATATCCTGCCAAGGCAATTAACACAGATCTGCCATAGCAGGACACATGCTCAACAAATAAAGTGAAATCAAATACCCTTAAATGCAACCCTAGGAGCATGGATGTGCTTTGCTATGACTTAGATACATGGAGAGCCAAGAAGGCAGGATGGGTGTCGGGAAACAAACGCAGAGAAACTGCACAT